TTCATTGGGCCGAACCCATCCTACATGCAAAATTTCGTGAAGATTGGTCCATAACTGTGGCCTGTATCGTGTTTACAAATTATAATGGACAGACGGACGGACGGACACACATGTCTAGATCGATTCAGCTAGTCGAGATATGACGATCGGTATACTTAAAGGTGGGTCTAGGACCAATATTTCGGCGTTACAAACTATTGGGGCTGCACAAAGCTATAATACCCTGACAACGTAGTTGTGTAGGGTATAACAATATTTTATTGCGTTTACTTAGCTATACATTTCAGCTAATTTTTGATGCAGCTAGAAGGTTTAAAAATCTAGAAATTTATATTTATAGGATCGGTTGTTATAATCGGGATTCTCTTTAAAACGATTTTTTGCTCACTTAAGAAATTTAAGTAATTTGTAGATTAAATTAATTTTATTTAATTATACTATCATACCTGGAAACAAGTTATATCAGATTTTATATTCAAAAGAAGAAGAAGACGCACATAAAAAATAAGCATGTCAATTTGTAATCAAATTTTCTCTATGACCAACAAAATACATATTTTTTCCATTTACAAAACAATATAATTTTTTACTTTTTGTGACGGCTATGTAAATTTAACCCATGAAAACGAAACAAAAGAAAGCAATCACAACATTTTTTTCGGTTCTACTCGGTTCCTTTGTGACTACTTAATTTTATAAACATAGAGACAAAGCAAAATGCCCATAAAGCAATAAAGTAAAAAAAAATTATGGAATACCCCATTTTCAGTATTGCAAATATTTGTGTTTATTTTATGATTAACATTATGGACCTAGTCTTCGACAATATTATTACATTTTCTTCGTTGTTGTGAATTGAGCAATGAAGACATTTTTGAGGGTAATTCATTCAGATTTTTTTAAAAGCCGAAATAACAATCTGTTTTCTTACTTTTGCCCATTGAAAAGGCTATCTCGAGAAATTGTCCCAATGTACGCAAAACATAAACCCAACAAACACACCATACCATTATTTTATGACACTACATAGACTTATTAAAATCGGGGTTTCTTCTTCTTCGAAACAAAAAAAAATTATTTATATTCTTTGGCAAGTGAATGCAAACAAGAAAACTCAGCGCCAAGTCAAATAAAGCTTTGACATGACATCTTAAAAAACCGTAAAAATGGAAAATATTTCAAAATATTTGTGTAATATAACATTTTTTTTTTTGGGTAAAGACAAAGCTCTAAAGCGTAATATCGTAAAAAATAACAAAACTTTTATTGCATTCATATGTTCGGATGTATGTACATGTATATCAGGAATCAACATTACCGAAAATTGAAGATAAAGTGGGAGAAAAAAACCAACACCACCATCATAAGAATGTGTTGTCATGAAAATGTCAAAATAAGTAATAATAAAGTTTTATCTCCCACCCACCCAAAAGCCAACACCACAAAGAAAATGGATGTCTTGGAAAATTGTTTAGGATAGACATGGCAAGAAAAGTGTTGTGGAAGTTTCATTTTCAATTTTATTTTTTTCGAGGAAAAATAAAACAATTTAAGAATGATTTATGACCTGATTGCACAAGATGTTGAACATTAATTATGAGATTTTCATAGCGTAGCGTTTGAAGTTTTCTGATGCGATTGATTTTAATATCTCAGCTAGGACTGGTTGATGGTCAAATACTACAGTTGTTTTGAAAGGACACAGTTCTAAGAAAAACTGTAATGGACTATGTGACATACGGTCAATTTGTATAAAAACCCAAAGAAATGATTATTTCCCTGTTGGCGAAGTCAAAAAGTAATAAATGAAATATTGGGGGCGAAAAATACCTTATTGAGATAAAAACCCTTGGCGAGTTATTCGTACCCCAAAACACAAATTCGTTATAAGTCTAATTTTGAGACATGTCCTGAAGAACTTTTTCTGGTAAATCTAATGTTTGCGAGGAACAAAAAAAAAACAAGCGAAAAAGCGTTAAGTTCGGTCGGGCCGATCTTTGGATACCCTCCACCATAGAAATGAAAATATAGGGAACATACCAAGAAGTGGGCCTATATCGACATTTCTAAAAACGGATTATGTAACCCATAATGAAACCATAATACAAATTTTAGAAATTTTTAATGGATAATTAAACCTTATGGCTAATGAGGGTGTATATACTTTGACACTCTGAAAATGTGCCTCATCGAAAAATTGGTTCTAGACCCCATGTTTCTTTGGAACAAATTTGTTTCAGAAAAATTTGATATCGTCCAAACTTTGCCCATATTATTTCTTCCAAACTTAGTTCAAGTTCGAAGATGGGGAATATCGGGGGGTACCCTTATATGGTGGCTGTCCGAAAAAAATGGACCTATATTCATAATTTGTTATAGAAAGATTTGGTACTTATTAAGAACTCAAAATACTAAATTACTGCCAATTCGGTGGAAAAATACGATCAAACCCCCTAAAATACTGAAAATTAGGAGGTACCGTTATATGGGGGCTACCAGAAAAAGTGGACCTATATTCATAATTTTTTGTGGAGGCATTTAGTACCCAATAGAAACCCAATGTACCAAAATTAAGCGAATTCGGTTAAAAAACGCGCTCAAGGATCGCAAAATACCGAAAATTGAGGGGTACCGTTATATGGGAGCTATGCCTAAACGTGGACCGATATATCCCATCTTCGAACTTGACATGCCTGCAGAAAAAAGACAAACCTATGCAAAATTTCAGCACCCTATGACAAAGTTAATATACCCTCCATACTATGGTGGAGGGCATAAAAAAACAATACACATTTCTTTGTGACTATTGCCGCTTATGTTTTAGATGAGATGTGTTCTGTCAAATCAAATGAGGAATACTCCAATACTTGCGCATCTTTTCGTCATTATTTTCTTGAACCGTTAAATAAATATTACAAGACGAGATTCTTTGACCTTCAAATTTTATACAAAAACGTTGCTCACAAATTGTAGATTGGGCCCTCAAAAACAAGAAACTTCTATTTATTTATTCTAACCCTTTTACCCGGCCTTTGCACAGAATACCTTATAGCCTATTCTTGCTCAAAATTATTTATATCTATTAGTAGATTATAGCAAACTGTCGGATTCATCTGAAATATTTACAAATTTATTTATAAATTTATAAACTGTGACACATTGTAAGAGAAGATCGGGTCCCATTTTCGGACAGAATCTGGGCTTGGTAAAGTTGTTTGGTTCAAGTCAGATAGGCCGTTTGCATGATATATTATGAAATTAGTTTTTAGCGGAGAAGGAGTGAACCGATATTCCTCATCTTCGAACTTGAACCATGTTTGGGAATTTGCATGAACTCCATCTAAGGACTCTCACAGTTTTACCATTGCTGAAGGATGCTTTCAATATATCATATGGTATTAAAAGGGTAAATAAATATTGGGTGGATAAATATCTAGGGACCCCATGTTCCCTACCAGTAGTTGTTTTGATATAAAAAATATGTGAGCCAAATGTTGACAGCCTACGACAAGCGGTTCGGCAGTAAAATAGTTTGTAGCCAATATTTGGACAAATACTTGGGTATTTACTCAAGAATATACCCCCGTGTTTAAACTATTATAAATACAGTGAGCGGAGCAGTATAATCAGACGGGGCCGGTCATATGATACCCTACACAATTTCCACGGAAATCTAAGTTTTTGTGGTGCTATATTCAGAGTATGGACAATATTTCGCTATATTTGCACCCTTTTGACTGACTAGAAGTCAACAGATATTACTAAAATTCAGTACAACCCTTCTAATTACTTGCCATATTCCCTTCACCGTGGGTTGTGTTGTGATGTTTGACTTTCAATTGTGTCCTATAGTTCGAATCGAAAAGAACACAAACAATTATGTTTTCGGTCCACTTAATTCCAATATTATTATCTGATCATCACCGGAAATTGTAGGCGCTGTCCTTGACCATACCTGGATAATCATGAAATATTTCAAAGCGATAATCGCAATATTTCCGCCTTCTAGCGCGGTAATGGTTTACTACATAATATGTGAATATGCAAGCACCTGAAACATCCGAGTACATACGACAATATAATTGGTATCAATTTAAAGGTCAAGCACTCCTCTGGATATACTAATTTTAAAGGTAGTTTGCTCTTAACGGTTTAATTCGACAAGTTTTGGCCAAGGATCGGTTTAAAAGTGGAAAAGGTCTATAAACCCATACAAATAACGATTTAGTGCATTGAGGACCTTATAGAATATTTGTATGTAAAAAAATCCATCAGGTTATAACTCTGAAACTTGGCTTACTTTTTGGTTCTTTAAATACTCTTCAAGATCTTTCATCTTTAAAAGGATTTTCCCACCTCCAAAATCCTGCGTTGCAAGATTTACCATAATTGTTCTCGATTTTTTAATAAGAAGGAACTCTCTTACAATTACCGATGCTGAATATTATTGCTGGTTATTTTTTTGTAAATACTCATAATAGCTCAGAAAATAACCGAAAAAATCCAGATAATATTTGCGTTATTAAATAATTACAAAAATACTTTAAGCAGATTTTACAGAAACGAAAGCTATACAGCAAGGATACAAAAGTATGAAACATTATGCATTTTTTCCTCTTTCAATTGCTCTTCACGCAAATAAACAAGCATAAGTATCCTTAACTGTTTCATCCTTACCATTAAATGCTTAACACTCAACATGAGCAACAGATTTTTTAATAACAATTTTTGAAGAATTGAAACAAAAAAATCAGCGAAAAATGAATATTTAAATCAATGTAGCAGCAGCATAACGAAGAGGTCATTGTTGAAAAAGAACAGAAACAGAAACACACAATATAATTGCATAGCAAGTGGGAAAGCAAGAATGGGAATTATGATATGATACAACAACAACAACAATGACACACAAACAAAAAATAAAAAATTATAAAAATAAGAAAAACAACAAAATACGACATACCATTAAGTCTACAATAATTACTTTCATTCATTTGCAGGCAACGTTCTACGATAAAAACCAGCTGACGACGAAAACGACTCCGGCTAATGGCAATGGAGGCAGTGGTGGCAACAATGTACAACAAAAGCGGCAACATCAGAAACAGCAGCAGCAACAACAACAATTCTCAGCTCATGATGCCTTAATAGCATCGACAACGGCCGCAAAGGATCAGACGACAACAATAAATCGCCAAGCCACAGCTGCCCCTGGTTCAGCTTATCAGAGGCCCTACAGTCAAGTGGCAGTGGCCTATCAACAGCCACAGGAGCAACAGCCATCATTAGTGGCACAGCATAAACAGATTGTCCGGGTAGTTGCTAAAAATAATAATGGTATTCAACAAAAGGAGATTCAGTATGTGACAGCTCCTCCTCATCAGCATAATGGCGGAGTTGCTGCCGTTCCTGCATTTAATTATGAACGTTTACCTTTGCAATATTTGCAACAACAATTACAGCAACAGCTGCTTGAGCGTGGGCCAAGTCATCATCAGCATCAGCGTCCCCAGCAAGTACAATACATTATCGCCATACCAATGTCATATTTGCGTCAATTGCAAAATCTGCAGCAACAACAACAACATCAGCAATCTCATTTGTCACAACAACAACAACAAAACAATGGGCATCAACAACAGTCAATTCCACAATTGCATTCATTCGCATTACAGCCGGGCTATAGCATAGCAGCAGGTCCTTTAGCCCGTGATCATCATGGTACTTATCGTCCTGTTCATCGCTTTTCACCGACAGCTATCAATGAGGTTCAGCAACACAGCAACAGCGCCGGAGGACAGCAGCATCAGGCAGGCCACCAAGCATCAGCCGCCCCAGCATCTCCAGGCTATATAACTCAATATATTCAGGTGCCTGCCAGTGCTCTTCTGGCCGCAGCACAACAAGCTCAACTTTATCAACGTCCTGTATCAGCTCACACACCAGCAGCCCCACCACCGCCACCATCTCCACCACAACAAGTTGTCTATCAACATCAACCAAGTCAACAGCATCAGCCGCAGCAGCAACAGGAACCAATATCCCAACAGCCACAATATTACTACTATCCCCAACAGCAGTTGCAGCAGCAGCACCATCCTCCTCAGCCCCAACATCAAGCTCTAAAAGCATCTCCCCCCGTTGCCCAACAACACATTGCTGCACCTGCTGCCGTTCCAGCATCACCACCACTTTATGGTAATTACCTGCAAGCCATTCATTCATTCCTTTGTTTGCAATTCCCTGATACTCTTTTGTTCCGATTCTGTCGTGCGATTGAATTGAAAAGGATTCAATTGAATTCTTAACCACAGATCTCGTTCATTTATCCACTTCTCTTGGGTGACTACTTGGGTCACAAGTGATTGGTTTCTGCTGTCATACAATTCAATCAGGTGTTGTGTTTTTCTTTCTACCACCCACCTGGGCGACGGACCACCATCTCACCTTCTTCTCCTTTGTGAATTCCGTGTAATTTGCATTTTGAAGTTTCGATTTAATTGGAGATTGTGGACAGAAATAAAAGGCGGAGAAAAAAAGTTGTTTCTTGGATTAGGTAGCTATAATTGTATACCGGGATATGATTTGGAATCATGGCTATATATTGGATCTGATTCATTTGGTCTTAGATATTTTGAGAGTAATATGGAGCAACACCAATATATCGGTACCGATCACTAAAATAATTTTTTTAAGATATATTTTCCAAATGAGATGAACTTAGTTGCGCCGCACAACTATGTTGTCAGGGTATTATAGCTTTTAATGGCCTCAAGAGTTTGTAAAGCCGCGAAATATTGGTTCTAGACCCACTTTTGGGTATACCGATCGTCATATCTCGACTAGCTGAGTCGATCTAGACATGTATGTTCTTCCGTCTGTTCTTTGAAATTTATAAACACAATATACAGTTATGGAGCAATCTTCACGAAATTTAGCATGTAATACTGGTACTGGCCAGAGAAGACCCCTATTGGAAATGATCCTATAATATTTAGGGAATGAAATGGACCAAATGTTAAATTTTTTGTCCGGTTTTCTACACACTAGAACATAACAAAATTTTACATGGAAAAGGGGATCAGACCAAAGAATAAGCGAGCCCGTTTTGATAAAGTTCAATCAATATTTAGCGGTTGATAGTACATTCAAGAGGAGTGGTTGACCTTTAAATCTATACCAATTGTAGTGTTATATGTAGCCGAATGTGTTAGTTAAATGTAAATATTTACAGGGGTCCCCCTATTCTGATATTGGTTAGTATTATCATCACTACACTATAGGGCGGAAATGTAGCGCTAATGACTAGGAAATTTTGCATGAGGTTCCGGTTATGGTCAAGGGCGACGCCTACAATTTTCAATAATAAAGAAATGGACCGAAAACTTTTTTGTCTGGTTTTCTAGTCGCTCTAGATGCGAACATCAGAAATTTTCCATGGGGAAGGCGAGCCGAATGGCGGTTATGATAATGAACGGTCAATATTTGCGGGTCAAATGAAGTAAAACTTTTTGCTTTAACTAGCAATACCAACAACAATGTTATGTGCATTTGTCACAAAGTGACGACACATAGCAGTAGGAAATGTATTGTGGTTGTCAGCAAATATCTTGTTGACCACGAAGTCAGGCACCAACGAACTTCTCATTGAGGTTGTATAGCTGGCAATGTACATACTTCGATTTGTTACAAGAAACATTTGGGTATGAAAGGTTTTTGTAAAGAAGCAATAAATAGCTTCTGCGGAGAATATCCCAACAAACAACTAAGGGGACTGCTGAGGATCGGTGGAGAGATCCGAAACTATAGTCTTCCCTGCCTTACCCCTCGGCAGACAATGCCATACATTACCCACTAATAAATATTTTTTTTATAAAAACAACAAACTGGGCTTCTGCCTGACTATTTGCAGAAGCAAAATACAAATGGTATCCCAAAAAACCTGCGGGAAACAAGATTTGGAAATGATGAAGCGGAGGAGCTGCGTCCGATTACATATATATCCTTCGCCACACTGTGATACAGGGTTTTATGTCTTTGTGCATATGTTTGTAACAGGCAAAAGAAAACGAGATAGGAACATGGTTCCTTTTGAGGATATGCATAGAACAACTTTCGGAGTCGATTTATTCATGTCCGTCCGTCTGTCCGTCCATATATTTTTGTGAACAAAGTACAGGTCGCATTTATGATCCGATTTGGATGAAATTTGGCATAGGTCACTTATTTGGCCCAAGGAAGAACCCTATTGAAATTGGGAAAAATCATCCGATTTAATGTAAATGGTGCACCGAAGTCCCTATGTATCTCTCGATTTGCACGAAATTTGGCACATCGTAATGAATTAGGTCTAGAAAGATGCGTGTTAAGTTTCCTGAAAATCGGTTCAGATTTAGATATAGCTCCCATATGTAGTTTCGTCCGATTTAATGTAAAGGGTCAACCAAAGTCACTCTAGCGTCTAAACGAGTTGAGATAGACCGCCAAAATTTTGCACAGAGTCGTCTTTTGTCTGCAGGCAGGTCAAGTTGGAAGATGGGATATATCGGTCCACGTTTAGGCATAGCTCCCATATAATTGTACAATCAGTTGCTATTGGGTACCCAATTTCTCCACACAAAAAATTATACATATAGGTCCATTTTTTCTGGTAGCCCCCATATAAGGGTACCCCCCAAATGTCTGTATTCTGGGGTTCTTGAGCGCGTTTTTCAACCGAACTCGTTGAAATTTGGTACATTTGGTTCTTATTGGGTGCCACATATCTCCACTAAAAAAATATTAATATAGGTCCAATTTTTCTGGTAGCCCCCATATAAGGGTACCCCCAATTTTCGCTATTTTGAGGTTCTTGAGCACGTTTTTAACCGAATTCGCTGAAGTTTGGTATTTTGTAGTCGTATATGGTAATAAATTTTCCTACAAAAATTATCGATATTCACCCCCTTTTGGTTCAGATTTAGATATAGCTCCCATATATATTTTCATCCGATTTAATGTAAATGGTGCACCAAAGTCCCTATATATCTCTCGATTTGCACGAAATTTGGAACATCGTAATGAATTAGGTCTAGAATGATGTGTGCTAAGTTTACTGAAAATCGGTTCAGATTTGTGTTAATGGTGTACCAAAGGCTCTATATATACTTCGATTTGCACTAAATTTCGCATAGCGTACTGAATAAAGTCTAGAATATTGTGTGCTAGGTTTCGTGAAAATCGGTTCAGATTTAGATATAAATGGTAAATGGTACACCAAAGTCCCCATATATTTTTGATTTGCACGAAATTTGGCATAGCATACGGAATTAAGTCTAGAAAGATGTGTTTTAAATTTAGTGAAAATCGTTTCAGATTTAGATATAGCCTCCATATATATATATATATATATATATATATATATATATATATATATATCTACAATATATTGTAAAAAGCAACTCGATATCTGACCAACCCATACTAAGGTTTGCAGAATGACATGTTTAATTTCATGTTAATGGTCCTTCAAAAATACTACGTCTGTTAGGATTGCATCTGTTGAAGTGGAGAAGGGTATCATATAGTCGGCCCCGTCCGACTTTACTATTTTCCTTACTGTTTTTTTTAAATAATAAAAAATAGTAATTGCTTCATAAACATTTATAGTCCCATTTTATTTGTCATTATTCTTCAACAAAAATATCAATTAAAAATCCTTTTTGTTAATTTTCTTTTTTTCTTCTTCTTTTTTCCACTTCACCTGCAATTAAAGCATATCAAATTCAGGAACAACAACCTACACAACAGCATGAATATCACCAGCAGGCGCCACCATCTGTACAATATCAGGTGCAACATTTACAACCGGAGCAATTGCAGCAACAGCAATTGAATGTGGTGGGTAAACAACAGCAGCAACACCAACAACCGGAGCAAGCACTATATCGCCAATCCCACCACGCACATGGTCAACAACAAGAATCTGCACAAGTGGTACCACAAGAGTTGGTCCAAAAGACTTTAGCGCCACCACCACCACCATCATTGCCTACAGCACCTGTACTACCCGAACATTCCTATGAGCCAGTAGTGCACTACAATCCGCAATATCTGGTGCAATATGAGCAACCTCAGCTTCAGCAACAAAAGCACCATCTTAAATACCAACAACCTCAATTGCAACTCCAGCATGTACACATTAATCCTTCGCATTTGAACTCTAACCCCCAACCCTCGCACACACTTAGTCCGCAACCTAGTCATCGTTTTCAATTGCATACGCCATCCCCACCTCCACCATCTCCTCCCACAGCACCGCACCAGCACCAACCAACAGCAATTGTAGACAATTTAAATAACTTACCATATTCACAGGCAGTCATACAAGGACCCACTCCGGTGCCATTTACGCATTTGGCACCACCACCAGCAGCATTGGGTCCTCCGACTTTACATATTGCACCACCACCAGCAGCTGCCGCAATGACCCCCTACTACCATCACCCGTTGCTAACGAATTCACTGCAACCGGCCTTCGCCCCATTGGGTATTCCCAGCAAAGTGACATCATTTACAAATGTCTTGCTTCAGCCATTTGCTCATGGACACGGACATGGTCCGACGTATCAAACAACACCGGAAATTGGACCCGTAGGCAGCACACTGCCGTATTTTAATCATGACGGTGGTTTACAGTATAGCTCTCACCTCTACCATCCGCCCACATCAGTCAGTGCCATAGTAAACAAAGTTGCAGTGCCCGAGGTGGCATCACCTGCAGGAGCAGCAATAAGAACATCAGCTAAGGCTTCCTCGGCCACAGCAAAGGCATCGGGTACAGATGGTAGCCGGACCATAGTAAAGTACCCATAGGAGACAGAAACAAAAAATATGGTAGCCAGCAACAGCAGTAACATCAGTAGAATAAAAGGAATATAACAGCATTACTATGAAACTTTTTGTTTGTTCTCTTCATCCCTACATCCCACTCCACCCCCCTGACTACCACCAATAATAGCAGCAACATGAAAGTGCATAACGGTTTTATGTGCTTGATAATTACTTAGTATTATTAAGTTTCCCATTCATTTTCAACCGGTATGTTTTGGAACTTCTTTGGCTTCGTTGTGTTCGTTTGTGCTCCGATCCTTTTGTTTATCCCATTGTAAAAGTCATGACTTCCTAGTATGAACATGTTCAGGGTGCTTGGTGTTGTATGCAGTATGTTTTTTGGAACACCAGCCCTTATGCAATCACACGGGAATGGAAAACGTTTAGTTCAGATGTAAGTATATATATTTTTTTGGAATATCAATTTTCTTTAATTGCAATAGAGATGTGTCTGTAGTTGTACTAAATTTGTGCACAAAGGCATTTTTATATGACGTGTTGAAAATCGAAGGCAATTTTTATATTCTCAACCACAAAATGGAGTGATATTAAATACGGCAAGTTCCCACGCCGCTTATAGTCTTTGAAAAATGTGTTTTATAATATCCACGCCTCTCATAGTCCTTGAAAAATATGCTTTATAATATCCACACATCTTATAGTCCTTGAAAAATATTCCTTGTAATATCCACACTTATCATAGTCCTTCAAAAATATACTTTATAATATCCACGCCTATCATAGTCCTTGAAAAATATGCTTTATAATATCCACGCCTTTTTAAAATCCACGGCTATTGTAGTAATGGAAAACAATACTTTTTAAAATTCACGCCTTTTATAGTCCTTGAAAATATGTATGCAGTCCTTGAAAAATATGCTTTATAATACCCAGGCCTTGTATAGTCCTTGAACAAATATTCTTCATAAAATCCACGCCTATTAAGCCCTTGAAAAATATTCTTTATAAAATCCATTCCTCTTATAGTCCTTGAAAAATATTTTTTATAAAATCCTTTCCTCTTATAGTCCTTGAAAAATATTCTTAAGTCCACGCCTATTTTAGCCCTTGAAAAAAATATACTTTATAAAATCCACGATCTTAAAAAATGATTTTTATAGTCCTCACGAAGGAAGGAATACAAATTCGTATCCTGTCGAATTTAACGACGAGTTTAGTAAACTCGTACCCCTCGTCTCCTTTAAGCCCAGAGGAAATGTGGCGTATAATAAATATTTTGTATATACATACATATTCATCATACGCTACATTAATAAGTAAGTCCACATAATTTTGCATCTCCTGTTACACCATCAACCCATTGTGCACCATGATGGTTATGTGCATTACATAACCAATGTTCCATGGTTTAACGAAATGGGCTAAATTGTGCGCTCAGCTACTTTACAGGATTCTATGGTAAAAAGTTGTAAATTGTGGTGTATGTGCGAAAGTGTAAATGTGTTTTTGGTGTGTGTGTGTGTAACTTCTCCCGTACAATAATGTGTTGCTGTTGTTGAAAGTGCACATCATTTCATTTTATTTTCTCTAAGGATAGTGCAAAATGTGAACGCAGTATTTTTGGTGGGATTTTAGCAGCTTTCCAAATGACTTGCATAAAAATGCAACGTCAAATAAACATACAAAAGAGCATTCAACTTTCGGCGGATCTTAAAGACAACAAGGAAACAGACATTAATAATGACAAGGAAAAATAGTAAGCTGTTGTATAAGTTGCTAAGTTTAGTGAAGGGTGGTAAAAGAAATACTAAGCTTGACTTGTTTTTCTTTCAAATTATCTAACAATTTAGCTAATATGTAGATTATATAAAAATAGTAAGTAATGTCGTATTCACACATTTCAACCTGGCTAGTTGCTAGTTACTCAACTTAGGATGTAAGCAATGTCATTCAAAACGCCACGACTTTTATAGTCCATGAAAAAATTTTCTATATAAAATCCATGCTATTTTTCTCTATAAAATCCATGCCTCTTTAGACCTTGAAAATGTATTACTTTTAAAATCCACACCTCTTTAAGACCTTGAAAAATTATTCTATATAAAATCCACGCCAATTATGTCCTTGAAAAATAATTCTCCATGAAATCCACGCCTCTTTTAGACCTTGAAAAAATATTCTCCATGAAATCCACGCCTCTTTCAGACCTTGAAAAATTATTCTTCATGAAATCGACGCCTCTTTTAGACCTTGAAAATTATTCTCAATGAAATCGACGCCTTTTTTAGACCTTGAAAACTTATTCTCCATGAAATAGACTCCTCTTTTAACCGTAAAAATATTCTCTATGAAATCTACGCCTATTATAGTCCTTCAAAAAAAAAATTCTCTATAAAATCCACGCCTATTATAGTCCTTCAAAAAAAAAAAAAAAATTCTCTATAAAATCCACGCCTATTATAGTCCTTCAAAAAAAAAAATTCTCTATAAAATCCACGCCTATTATAGTCCTTCAAAAAAAAAAAAAAAAATTCTCTATAAAATCCAAGCCTATTATAGTCCTTCAAAAAAAAATTCTCTATATAAAATCCAAGCCTATTATAGTCCTTCAAAAAAAAAAAAAAAAATCTCTATGAAATCCACGCCTATTATAGTCCTTCAAAAAAATTCTCTATAAAATCAACGCTTATTGCAGTCCTTCAAAAAAAAATTCTCTATAAAATCCACGCCCCTTAAAAAAATTGTCTATAAAATCCACCCCTCTTTATAAAATCCACGCCTATTATAGTCCTTCAAAATAATTCTTTATAAAATCCACGCCTCTTTATAAAATCCACGCCTCTTTTTAAAATCCACGCCTCTTTATAAAATCCACGCCTCTTTTTAAAATCCACGCCTCTTTATAAAATCCACGCCTCTTTATAAAATCCACGCCTCTTATAGTCCTTCAAAAAAAAATACTCTATAAAATCCACGCCTATTATAGTCCTTCAAAAAAATTCTCTATAAAATCCACGCCTATTATAGTCCTTCAACAAAAAAATCTCTATAAAATCCACGCCTCTTTATAAAATCCACGCCTCTGTATAAAATCCACGCCTCTGTATAAAATCCACGCCTCTTTATAAAATCCACGCCTCTTTATAAAATCCACGCCTCTTTATAAAATCCACGCCTATTATAGTCCTTAAAAAAATTGTCTATAAAATCCACCCCTCTTTATAAAATCCACGCCTATTATAGTCCTTCAAAATAATTCTCTATAAAATCCACGCCTCTTTATAAAATCCAAGCCTATTATAGTCCTTCAAAAAAAAATACTCTATAAAATCCACGCCTATTATAGTCCTTCAAAAAAATTCTCTATAAAATCCACGCCTATTATAGTCCTTCAACAAAAAATTCTCTATAAAATCCACGCCTCTTTATAAAATCCACGCCTCTGTATAAAATCCACGCCTCTGTATAAAATCCACGCCTCTTTATAAAATCCACGCCTATTATAGTCTTCAAAAAAATTGTCTATAAAATCCACGCCTCTTTATAAAATCCACGCCTATTATAGTCCTTCAAAAAAATTGTCTATAAAATCCACGCCTATTATAGTCCTTCAAAAAAATTGTCTATAAAATCCACGCCTATTATAGTCCTTCAAAAAAATTGTCTATAAAATCCACGCCTATTATAGTCCTTCAAAAAAATTGTCTATAAAATCCACGCCTCTTTATAAAATCCACGCCTATTATAGTCCTTCAAAAAAATTCTCTATAAAATCCACGCCTCTTTATAAAATCCACGCATATTATAGTCCTTCAAAAAAATTCTCTATAAAATCCACGCCTATTATAGTCCTTCAAAAAAATTCTCTATAAAATCCACGCCTATTATAGTCCTTCAAAAAAAATACTCTATAAAATCCACGCCTATTATAGTCCTTCAAAAAAATTCTCTATAAAATCCACGCCTATTATAGTCCTTCAAAAAAATTCTCTATAAAATCCACGCCTATTACAGTCCTTCAAAAAAAAATTCTCTATAAAATCCACGACTATTATAGTCCTTCAAAAAAATTGTCTATAAAATCCACGCCTATTGGTCTTAAGAAATTTCTCTATAAAATCCACGCCTATTGTAGTCACTCACAAAAAATATTCTTTTTAAAATCCACGCCTCTTCTAGTCCTTGAAAAAATATTCTTTATAAAATCCACGCCTCTTCTAGTCCTTGAAAAAATATTCTTTATAAAATCCACGCCTCTTCTAGTCCTTGAAAAAATATTCTTTATAAAATCCACGCCTCTTCTAGTCCTTGAAAAAATATTCTTTATAAAATCCACGCATCTTCTAGTCCTTGAAAAAATATTCTTTATAAAATCCACGCCTCTTCTAGTCCTTGAAAAAATATTCTTTATAAAATCCACGCCTCTTCTAGTCCTTGAAAAAATATTCTTTATAAAATCCACGCCTCTTCTAGTCCTTGAAAAAATATTCTTTATAAAATCCACGCCTCTTCTAGTCCTAGAAAAGATATTCTTTATAAAATCCACGCCTCTTATAGTCTTTGAAAATATTTGTTTTAAAATCCTCATCTCCAATAGTCCTTCCTGTCCATAGGTTAATTTGCATAAGTCAATGTCTTCAACACTATCTTAACAATGATGCACCTTTATGTAACAATAATTAACCATAAACTTAATTTTCATTGCGAATGATGTGTAAACATAGCTCCTAACTGCACTGAAGTAACCCTAACCCATTTGGGTATTTACGCCATCGAACAATTTTCAATGTTACTTTACGATCCTCCCAAAAAGCTATTAACTGACATTTAGAAAACAAAAGCTAACATATCTCGTTGATGCAGTTACCTCAAATGACCATAAAGGTGTGCTTTGTCCTAACCACCACGACCATTAAAACATGACTGCACTTCCATAAATAATAAATGAATGTTAGCGTCCTGTTAATATCTCTACTGCTACCATCATCGCCACCACATAAAAGTAA